GGTGCTGCAGCAATTTAGCATCAGTATGCAAAAACAGAACCTCAAAATGTAATTCTTAACCCTATACAAAAATTAACTCAAAATGTATTATAGATCCAAATGTAAAACACAAAACTGTGACACTTTAGAAGAAAACATTGGAGAATTGCACCAAAAGCATAATCCATAAAAAATGGATATATTGCTATTTATCAAAGTTTAAGATTCACTCCTTGAAAAGGCCCTGTTCAGAGAATAAAAAATCAGTCTACAGATTAAGAGAGAATATTTACAAAATCACTGATCTAGTAAAAGAAGACTTGTATCCAGAATGATACAACTATGCACCTGTTAGAGTGGCTAAAATTACAAAACCAAAAAAACTATAAGTGCCAAGTTCTGGCAAGGATGCCAGAATTCTCATGTATTCCTGCTTAAAATGCAGAATAGTAGCCCCACTTCGGAAAGCAGTTTGGCAACTTCTTATAAAGTTAAATATGTATTTGTCATACAACCCAACAGTCTTGCTTTTAGAGAATTTATTCAAGTGAATTGAAAACCATGGTTACACAGAAACTGTATTTTTCACTAATTTCCCCCAAAGAAAACAACAGAAATAACCTTCCAGCAGCTCAGTGCATATACACACACTGGTACATCTGCAGAAAGGAATATTGCTCAGCAATTAAAAAAAAAAAAACAAGGATGAATTTAATTCACGACAATATAAATGAATCTTAAATGAATTTTGCTAATTGAAAGAAGCCAGATCCAAAAGATAAGTATATGATTACATTTATATTTCATTCTGGAAAATGCAGAACAGATAAGTGGTTGCCAGGGGTAAGGAGAGAAGTTGACTACAAAAGGAGTAGTATAGGGACTTTTTGAGGGGATTGATACTGTATTGTCGGATACATGAGTCTATGCTTCTGATAAAACCTACAAAACGATACAATACAGAGTCATTTTTTAAAACTATATGCAATTTAAAAAATCAACCAGGATTCCAGGGGAACCCAAGATGAAATACATGAATAATTATTAAAAATGAGTGATATGATATGGAAGGGGATGAACTGGTCTAAATAACTTTGGAAACTATTGCTCAAGATGGTAAATGTGTTACACACATACACACACACACACACACACCCTTAAATAAGTGAATACTATACATTGTAGATAAAGCCGGTTTTTTTGAGAAATAAAGTTTCAGTTAAGCAAGGTGAATGGGAAGATTATAATGAACCCTGTTTTTCTGGATTGTAGTTGGAGGTTTCAGAATAAATGTATTTTTTTAACATATATACAGATAGATATAAAAGTATAGATGTGTGTACACATGAATTCGAATACATCTGATATTTCCCAGCTCTGACTGCTGAGTCTTAAATCAGTGAAACCTGGAAACTGAGCACACCTAGCCCTCAGGTCCTAGTTTCTAAGCTCCATTCTCCAATGAAAGGAATCACGCCTCCTTGGAGAAGTGATTGATTGTAGAGCTAGGGCCAGGAAAATACACAATGATCCAGAGGTGTGAAGTCATAGGAACCAGCTTTTCAGAGGAGCTCCCAATGGCCAGATCTAGAATAATTTAAACAACAAAAAATATTATTGGATTATAACACAAAGAATGAAAAATAGTGAGATTATTACTTAGTGACTGAATAAATAAATGGAGAAGGGACAGCTCTTCCTTAGAGAGGTATTCTAATCAATGCATGTAGAAAGTCTTGCTTACAAGAAATGGGGGACAGAAAGGCCTCTGTGCCTGGGAGCCCCACAGGGCCCTACTCGGTTTCAGACTCTTCACAAAAATTAACTCAAAATGGATTGCAGACTAAAATTTTTAAATGCAAAACTCTGATATTCTTAGACAATAATAAATGAGAAAACCTAAACGACCTTGGGTACAGTGATGCATTTTTGGATATGACACTATTGGCATGATCCACACAGAAATAATTGCAAAAGATGTCAAGAGAATGAGAATACCAGCCAAAGACTGGGAGAAAATACTTACCAAGGACACTTCCAGTAAAGGACTTCTACCCAGAGTATACAAAGAACTCTTTAAGGCTCAACAATAAGAAAACAACTCAATTATAAAGTGGGCCAAAGACCTTAATAGACAGCTCACCAAAGAAGATATACAGATGAAAAAATAAACATATGAAAAGACATTCCACATCATATGTTACTAGGGAAATGCAAAATAAACAACAGTGATACTACTACATGCATGTTAGAATGACCAAAATCTGGAACACTGAGAACACGAAACGCTGGTGAGTTTGTGGAACAATAGAAATTGTCACAAATTGCTGGTGGGAATGTCAAATGGTAAGCCACTTTGGAAGACAGGTGATTTCTTACAGAACTGCTGCTGCTAAGTCGCTTCAGTGTGTCCAACTCTGTGCGACCCCACAGACAGCAGCCCAACAGGCTCCCCCGTCCCTGGGATTCTCCAGGCAAGAATACTGGAGTGGGCTGCCATTTTCTTCTCCAACTCATGCATGCATGCTAAGTCACTTCAGTCATGACCGACTGTGCAGCAGACCGCCAGGCTCCTCTGTCCATGGGATTCTCTAGGCAAGAATGTTGGAGTCAGTTGCCATTTCCTTCTCCACTTAACAAAACTAAGCATACTTTTACCATATGATCCAGCAATCATACTCCTAGGTATTTACCTGCATAAAAACTTGCACATGGATGTTTATAGCAGCTTTATTCATAATTGTCAAAACTTAGAAGCAACCAAGATGTTCTTCAGTGGGTAACTGGATAAAATGTGGTACATCCAGACAATGGAGTACTTTTCAGTGCTAAAAGAAATAAGCAATTGAGCCATAAAAAGAAATGGAGGAAAATTAAATACATGTTACTAAATGAAAGAAGCCAATCTGAAAAGGCTACATCCTGCATGATTCCAACATTCTGGAAAAGGCAAAAACTATGGAAATAGTAAAAAGATCAGGGGTTGGAGGAAGGGAGAGATGAATAGGCAAAGCATGGAGCATTTTAGTGCAGTGAAACACTCTGATATTATAATGGTGGATACATTTGAACAAAGCCATAGAATATGCAACACCAAGAATAAACCCTAATGTAAACTAGGGATGTTGGGTGATAATGGTAACAAGTGTACCACTTTGGTAATAGGGAAAGCTATGTATATGTGAGAGCAGGGAGTTTATGGAAAGTCTCTGTGTATGCCCCTCAATTTTGTTGTCAGCTTAAACTGCTCAAAAAGGTTTAAAGAAAAAAAAAATAGCAAAATAAATAATAATATTTTTGGATTATAACACAAAGAATTTAAAAAATAGTGAGACTGTTACTTAGTCATTGAATAAATGTAGAAGGGACAGCTCTTCGTTAGAGAAGAATTCTAATCAATGCATGTAGAAAGAATGAGAGAAATGGCAAATCACCATTATAATACAATAGTGCAGACCTTGAAGGCGAGGTCAATGGATGAGTGCTAAAGTTAGCAAAAATTTAAGGAGAAACAGGATATTTAATAAGTCTCAGAATGTCACTCCCCAAATAATCATTGATTATAAAAAGAAAAATAGTGATTTTTATAGTGGAGAATCCTAGTCATTTGTTCATCTTTCAGGAACTGGATGTGGAATACTGCCACTATCCTTCAGAAATAAAAACTATAGGAAATTTCATTTAAGGCACAGAAATAGGTTTATAAGAATTGTAATAAACTGCAAAATTGATGGACAAACTACAAGTTTGACATTTAGCAACTTGTCAGTTATCATGGTCTTTTTTTAAGAGTTCATGAAGCATCTCTGAGGAATTGTAAAATCTGCCCCAGAAGCTATTAGTATTTACACTGTTATCCCTGTAAGTTAAAGTGAAAACTGAATACACACACACCCATAGTATTTTGATGTGTCTTAACAGTTGGAGATGGGTGAAGATATCTATAACAGCACAGTTGAAGAGGATTTTGCCACGTTTGAAACAGCAGTTTATAGGCCAGGTAGTTATTTTTCAGTCAGTAATGAGCCTCATTCCTGTTTCACACTTGTCTGCAGATAAACCTGCTTTCAGGTTGGGACTTTACGTATTGCTGATGCTTATAAAGATACCTTTCGCAGATTGACAGAGAAGCTTGACTTACTCAAGTAAAATAATTTTAAAAAACTAGTTGGATTATGCTAGCTTATTCATATTTTTAGATGTGTAGAAAGAAAAGGAGCAATATGTTTCATCTCTGTTCTGTATGATTTATCAATTCATTTCTCCTCTCATTTTCTTTATTTAGGTGATTTATCAGTTCATTTTTCCTCTCATTTTCTTTATGTGGCTTTTCTCCATTGAAGTTATTATACTCATTTGAAAATTGTATTTGCAAATGACAAATATATAAGTTTGTAAAACTATTGTACTTATTAACAGATATTTGAGTTCTTATTGTTTCATAATACTGCGTTAGTTACTGTGGGAGAAAAGAAAACAAAATAATTTCTGCCCACCACAGAATTTAATTAAGATAAATGTACATGTGTAACCAGGTAGGGTAGGGATGGGAGGATTTAGATGTTAAGTATTGAGCAAATTTCGAAGATTGTGAAGGACAGGGAAACCTGGTGTGCTGCAGTTCATGGGGTCACAAAGAGTCGGACACAACTTAGCGTCTGAACAAACGAAAACAAAAAAAAGTGTTTGTTAGCGTTCTCCAGATTCCAAACAGAAACTAGTTTCATGATTAGGAAATCCTTTTATATGTTATCACAGCATGGCATAAGAGCAGAACAAACTGGGGTAGGAGGGTCTTTAAGTCCTGGCCCTAGAGATTTTAAAAGAATCTTTCCAGTCTTTTGAAGTCAGCTACAGGTACAGAGACAATAAATAATGTATATTTGTACTCACTGCCTATATAATCATCTCTTTAGATTTCGAAACAACTGATAGTGTTCAGATAACATGTTTTTCTAAAGAAGTATTCAAGTACCAACAGTCTTAGTAACTCTCTTATTCCTCTTATGTGCTGAGTGCAGTCGGAGGAAGAGGAATTGGAGTTGGTGAGTGTGGGTTTCTACTTGAATGGAGTTGAAAAAAATATGAAAGTGCTAATTCTTTTCAGTGTTTTTATCTGAATAATGTTCCCTTTGTTACACAGATTTTTTTTTTCTTGATGTTAAATACTGTCCAAACATTTTGAATAACTGAACCAAGCACTGGTACTGCAGAATATGGTTTTTCTACTCATAATTACATATCTTGACCTGTTTTATTTGTTCTGGAAACTTTGGAATAAACAATAGCTGTCCATGATCACAAGACATATTAAAGAATTTTTTAAGGAAAGATATAAAATACCTTATGTAGTTCCCCCAAATTATTAATATATTTTTAGAAAATGACTTCACCCTCACAGTTCGTCAGATTGTAACACACTGTCTTGTGTTGTTTCTCTTTCTTTCAAAAAGATTACATCATTTTTGGTGAGGTCACCTTTTTCACAGAGTTAGAATTATTTCATCCTGCATGAGACAGTCTGAACCACAAGGGGGTTCCCTGTTGTTATTAAAACGAATGTCTTTAATTGAACATACACAAACTTCCTTTTTTTCTATCAGAAGATATTCTGTCCTTAATAGTAGCTGTTACTTTTTTTCAAAAACGAATGATTTCTATTGGCTTTTCTTCTAGAAAACAAATTTGACTAAAAATAACTTTCAGTTGCTCTATTTCTTTGGGAACTAAAACTCAAACCTCACAGAACTGATCTTCTGATTTCGAAGTCAGCTGCTAATTAGGTGACTTTAAGGGGACTAAAGACTTGAAAATGTTTAGTTTTTAGCATGGACAGGGGTTTAGATTGCATGAAAGCATGGGGGAAAGGCATCTGTTCGTTTTACATTTTATTACATATATATGCATGCTGGTGTGTTTTGCACAATTTGTTTCTTTTCAAATAAGGTTGTCTGTGCTCTGTCCTTAAAATTAGAGATTCTTCTTTAACTTTGTGATCACTCTCACAGTTTTGGATGTGGTTTCACATTGGGTAACTGAAATACACTGAAAGTGATAAAAGTGAAAGTCGCTCAGTCGAGTCCGACTCTTTGCGACCCCAAGGACTATACAGTCCATGGTTATCTCTAGGCCATGGAATTCTTGTGCTTTTGGATTATATCATGTGCAGATTTTAAGTATCTTTTGAATACTTTACTTACTGATACAATAATGATTAGCAAATGATAGTTTAAGATTAAGTAATTTGTCTTAGATTAAACCTCACTATTTATACCCTTAAGAAGTTAATCATGAATGCTTCCTTGTGAATTTATGAATTATCTAGCAGTATGTTGCCCTCTAGCGGCTGTGGAGATCAGTGCCATTGAGATTATGAGCCTTGATGGGTAGAACCAATATATTGGAGTGTCACCGTTTTACAGACACACTCACCACCACCACCACCACCCCATCTTGAGGTCACATTAGGAGACTTCCGTGGAGGTGAAGGTATGGCATTGATAGAGCCAGGCCAGACCATGTCATACTGTGTTTTTCACCTAGTATTTGACTCTTGAAGTTTCAGTGACAAAATTTGTGAGAACAGATCTCTCTCTGTTCTCTGTTCTCTCAAAGTAGATCTCTGTCTCAAAAATTCAGTAAAATTTTTAACTTGATGCTGAGACAAAAATGTATACCTAGTTGTTATATGTTGACTTTTACTTTCCTTAAAGTATACCCTCAATTACAAAATCTCAAAGATAAATTTCTAAGTATTTGAAGACTGTAAACTCTAGCACATAAAAATACTTTTGATTAAGAAACAAATACTTAACCAAAAACTGTAAATAGTCATTGATAGTCTCTAAAACTTAAGCTAATTCAAATTCTAAAAGTTAATTAAAATGCAGAACTCTGTGTGTCAGAACCAAATCACAATCAGAGAAACAATCTGTTACACTCTAGAAAGTTGTTCAAATTGGCTTGAGCTGTAGAATAGAATCATGAGTGGCTCTGACCCAAACTGAGTGCCCTGGAACCTACACTAAAGATGCCTTTAGAACCAGGCTATAGAGATGCCTTTAGAAGTCTTGCAATTGTAGAACAACTCTCCTTTCTGACAGCTCCAAGGGAGTAGCTATGGATCAGAAGGAATAACTATATTTACCTTAAAAAAAAAAAGAAATCTTGGGCCAGAGAGTATCTTAGAACAATAGTTTAGGGATATGTCTGACATTTCTGAAGTACTTAATTTATCAGAGCACTTCTGACTGTTGCCTTACTAGATTCTCACGATAGTACTACATAGCAGCAGTGCAGCAGCCACCGTCTTCTCTGCTTTACAACCAGAGAGATTTGGAGAGGGGAAAGGGTTTTTCCAGGGCTCAGGAATTAGTGAATCTGGGACAAGAATCAGGCCAGTATAGGCTGAGCGGTCTTTCTAACATCCTCTGACTTAAGATTGGATAGAAAATACAAACTAAAAAGAAATAAAATGAGATAGGAAATATCTAGATCTAACCAAAGGTCTTCAATCTGATTACCATTGGAAATAGTGATAGGAAAAACTGAATGACATCCTGACTTTCTATAATCTCAAGGACACTGAGTTATACTTTGATATGGCTTAAGCCCCCTAAATCTCAGTTACCAGGCTCTAATTTCTTCATTTAGAAAAAAATAACCCTGGATTTATGCTTTAGCCTTCTTGTGTTCTAACCACATGGAACTTTCTCTTTTGCTGATTCTCAGTTTTAGAACGTGTTCGCTTGAGGCAGTGTTGTGAGAAACTGCTCTTTCATACCCATACCCTTACAGAATGGTGACTGTCTTAAACTGACTTGATTATTCTGTAGTTCATTTTGTTTCACTCCCACTGTAGATAGGATACTATGTAGATGCTGTCGGTCAGCAAACATTTACCGTTGGTCATCCACAGCCCTATCAGAAGTATTATATTTTATTTAAAAGCTCTCTACTCAAAGCTTCTCCATTCATAAGCATTTGGAGAAGGGATACATGTCTCAAGTCTGCTGTTAAAAAACAGGTCAATGATGGATGATGGGAGAGGCTCTGCATGTATAGGATCAGGGAGTATATGGTAAATCTCTGTACCTTTTCATCAGTTTTTCTGTGAACCTAAAACTGTTCTTTAAAAAAATCTTAATAAAAATTTATATCTAAATAGACACACACATATATACATATTTGTGTGTGTGTTAACTGCAGGATCTCAAGGAAGGAAATATGAATACAAGCTGCAGTTTAGTAAGCTATGACTTCAAACCCTGTTAATTTGTAAATCCAGCAAATAGAAGTAGTTTTGAACTCTCTTGGACTCTCATGGACTTATAATCTATATATACAGATAACCTTGCTATCCTCAGGTGTTTAAAATCTAAACATATCTTACCTAGGTAGGGTAGCCTGGCAGTCTTTATAAGGGGCATCAGGTCCTCATTTATGTTAACATATAAGTGTTATCAGCCCTAATGCAAGTTTCTATTTTAAGGTTGTATCTTTGAAATCAGTAAACTCTCTGAAAAAGGCACTAGGGGAAAATGAATGATTAATGTAAAATACATCCCTTAAAATTAAATATTTAGTTAATCTCATTAGTATTTTTAAAGTTTTCACATGACACTTGCTTCAGGGAATAACGATGTTCACATCATAAAACTGTGAAAAATGTCACTTTTAAATTGAATGTTCTATTTTCAATATTAAGCTTAAATATAAGTACTCATAGAATAACACTTTTTTTCTACTCTTTCACAGAATACCCAAAGGATAAGCAGTTCTCAAGCCACTCAACCCCTAGCTACCCCAGTGGTGTCTGTGACAACTCCAAGCCTGCCTCCGCAGGGCCTGGTGTACTCAGCCATGCCGACCGCCTACAACACAGGTAAACCTGCCCTGTCGCCTTTTGTGGGTTTTTTTTTCCTTTGTTTTGTTTCAATGTGTGCTTTTGTGACTTCTTTAAAAATATATTTATTGAAATAAATTATTTCAAGTTTCTTAGATTCACAGTTGGATATGTTAATGAAACACATGCTAGTCTTGAAAAAATTACACAATACACATTGATTATAGAAAGATTCCCCAGCATAAACTTCTACTTACTCCTGAGAAACAACTAGCTGTTATCAAATTATGATGCACAGCAAACGGAGCAAAACACTTGTGTCTCACTCTTCCAAGCTTTTGAAATAAGGTGTTTTTCTGCATGCTGTGTCAACTTACCTTGGGAAAGACTGCATCCTTGGGGACCTCAGGACTCAGGGAGGTGGATCTAGTGAGCTGTGTCAGCAGGTCGCATTTTCCTCCGTTTGGTTGCTACTGTTTGTGCCTGAGGGCAAGACCAGGAGCTTTCTTATTTCTCTTCAAAGCCAGTCACTCTGATCTTGAGAAGGTGAGGAAAGGAGAAAATTTGTGAGCTAGAATGTTCAGAGGAGTGTTGGCCAAGGAGATGGTTCTTGAGCTGGGGGTCACCGTTACATTACAGTTTACTGAGCATTTCATGACAGGTTTTTCCAATAGAAAACTTAGATACCCCACTATATTTGTTTTTAGAAATGCCATTGGCTTTAAAGAATATTTTTTCCAGAGTCCAGAAGGAATTACCAAAATACAAAAATGGAGTCACATTCTCTTGAACCATCCCTTATCAGTCTCACTCCTGTAACTACTTACTTCTCTCTCAGAGCACCTATTCTGTTTAATGTTACCACATTATTTATCTTTTTAAAACATGCATCTATATTTTGTCTTTCATTAGTATATCAGCTACCTTTCTGTGCATAGTTAAGAATCAAACTCATGCCAGTCAGTCAGTACAGGGATGAATAAATGAGCAACATTTCAAAAAGTACAGTAGTTCTGTGTGGAGGAATCATATAGACACTTCCTCATTCCCATCTGTAAGGTCACTCCCAGCTTCTCAGCTTATTCATGGATCCATTCAGCACATATTTATTGAGGGTGTTCTGTGTGCCAGGCACTGGAAATATACAGGAGCGCACAGTTAACAATGGAACATAGGGGCTATCACAGGAGAAAGACACAAGACAAATAGTTCTAGGAATAATTTATCACCACTGTGTTAAGGGCCACACTGAAGCTTTGACCTGAAGAGGCTTTGATCTGCCTCGGCCAGGCGGAGTAGGGAGAGGGCTCCAGGAAGGGGGCGCCCTGTGTACAGAGGCAGCGGGAGCCTGGCTGACGGGGCCGGATCACTGTAGAGCTGAAACCACAGAGGGAGGCTGGGATGCACACGCCTTGCTAAGGACTTTCGGACATGATCTTGAGAGCATTGGGAAGCCATAAAAAGGTTTTAAGCAGAGAGGTATCATGACTATATTTGTTTTGTATGATCACTTAACTACAGCATACATGGGACCACCACACAAGAGGCTACTATGATAGTCCAGCTAATGAATGCTAATGGTGTAAACTAGGCTGGTGGCAGTAGAGATGGTGAGACATGGGCAGGCTTGAGAGACAGTAGCTAGAATTGACTAGACTTGATCATTGGTGGTGGAAGTAAGTATCAAGGGTAACACCCACAGATTTCTGGCATGAACAGTTAGGGGAGAGTTGGTGCCATTTACTAGAGAGAGGCAGGTTTGGAGGAATGATGAGTCCAGTGGGATCATGTCAGACTTGATCTGTCTGGAGAGACATCATGACAAGTAGACATGTCAAGTGGGTAGTTGGAAGGATTCGGAGGCACTGTAGAAGGCGCAGTGTGACTGATCCCCCTACCCAGCTTCTGTGGGGCGGGGCAAGGCAATGTTAGAGAGCAGTGACTGAGAAAAGATCACAAGCACAGCTATGCTGCTTAAACTGTTTCTTTTTTAAAATGCTAATTCACTAGGGAGACTAATTTCTTTAAATACTTCTCTCAAGACATGAAAAAGAAGTTAAAGGTAGAAGAGCTTTTGCCACCTCTCTTTAGAACTAAATGGAAAAAAACAAATGTTAATGTTGAAGTAACTCTACATGTGAATAACTAACATGCTATGTCTTGGCCAAAATGATTATGACTGAAGCATTTTTGTCTTGTAACACAAAGTTTTTTCATGAACTTTGACTTTGCATGCAATCGGGGACCTTTGACATTTCCTGTGCTTCGAACAAATGCAATTAGTTAATTGTATGATAATGAATATACTGTCTATGTCACTAAGCTTGACAGTCCATGAAAAGGGGTCCTGAATCTTTTCTGCTTCCCCTGTACTTTAGAAATATGAGACATGCTGAACTAGTTGCAGTCAGGATGAACTAGAGTGTTTCTCTTTGTTCATAAGGGTAGTTGGTGGGCATATATATTTTAAATAACAATTGTATAGGAACATCTTTTAGTGACAGCACTGTTATTATTTCTATTTACAATCCTGGAATAAGTATCTCAACTTTTTGTGAAATAATAAGCTATAAATATTTAGTAAAAAATTGAAACCTCTTTTATTGAAATAATCCCAAACAACTGAATATAGCTAGGTCCTAGAAACCTCCCCCAAAAAATTTTTTTGTCAGTTGTAGACCATAAGCGTGTTTTTGGCTTCCCGGGTGGCTCAGTCAGTAAAGAATCCTCCTGCAATGCAGGAGACCTGGGTTCTATCCCTGGGTTGGGAAGATCCCCTGGAGGAGGGCATGGCAACCCAGTCTAGTATTCTTGTTGGAGAATCCCCATGGACAGAGGAGCCTGGCGGGCTCATTGGACACGACTGAACGACTAAGCACAAAGGGAGTTTTTTGGTGTTATGAAGTACCTGGCTTCTTTCAAACGAAGAAAACTTTTGGCACAACTATTTGAAAAGCAGGTGTTGTATGGTCCTTTTATTACACACACAAGCAACATTTCCTTCTTTTTTAGACTACTCACTGACTAGTGCAGACCTGTCAGCCCTGCAGGGCTTCAACTCGCCAGGAATGCTGTCTCTGGGACAGGTGTCCGCCTGGCAGCAGCACCATTTAGGACAAGCAGCCCTCAACTCTCTCGTGTGAGTAACTGACTAGATGTTTTCCCCAAACCTCTACCTACGCTTCCCAACCTCTGCCTCATTCCACTGGTAGAAGAAAGGCAACCTGAAGGAATTCAGGCCTACCTGCCACCCTTCTGTTTTCCTTGCTCTGGTTCACATCAACAGACAGAATAAGAAAATGAGCTGTGCCCTTTGCTTTATCCCTGGATCGTAGGGAAGGGTGCTAGGGGCTGGGTTTCTTTTGTATGGGTCAGGCTACGTGGGATTCATGTGGTTGACTGCAGTTCACTGCACACATTGTACCTCTCCAGGAAGGGTTCGCAAAAGAGTGTTCCTTGCAGACAGCGTGAAAGGGATCACAGTGGTGCTCAGGTAGCACAGGCATCACTAGCAGGGGGAGAAGGAGTGGTGTTTTGGTCAAACTAGAATAGTCAGCCCAGGAGAAGCTGGAGGAGAACGGTCCAGAAGAGGGGACAGCATAATAGGTTAGCTGTGTCGCTTCTGCTCAGGACACGTGGGACACCTGGCCTCCCAGCTTCTTGGCCTGAAAGTCCCCTGAGAGGCTCCCTCCATCCTGGTAGCTCCACAGTGCACACTGGCATTGGTCGTCACCTTGGGAACTGTGTCATGGAGAAATGGCCAGGGTACCCGAGGGAAGTCTCTGCTTACACAGGCGTTTGGCCCTTGGGTGTGTGCAGAGCATCCTAAATGAGTACGCTAAAAATGGCCGTGCAAAGGCAAGCAGAAAAGGCTTGGTGCTCAGACTGAGGAAAAGGCGTGTGCACACTTTACTGTGTCCTCTGAGCCACTCACTTAGCCTTTCTGAGACTCGTCTGGAGGGTGGGCTGACATGGCTGCCTTCTGAGAGCTGCTGTGAGCATAGGTGGTGGTCCATCACAGAGGCAGAGAAGAGGGCAGAGGGAGCGGGGTCAGGGCGCCACGTGGCCCCTCTGCTGCTTCGGTCCCCGCGCATCAGCCACTAACACTATTTTGGAAACTTCAGCCACAGAAGTACCAAGATTTGGGTAATAGAACCAGCCACTAGAAGTCTTGACTGTACTCATTTTGGTTTTTAGCAGGGATATGTTATTTTTTCTGTGTGAAGCACTGCAGGAAACACCAAAACTGGCCTCGGGGAGTTCTGGCGGTGTTTCAGACCCTGGGCTCTCTGTCAGTCAGGCGGTATCTGTAGTGTTGCATTCATGCAGATGCACTCACAAACCAGCTGTCTAACAGATCTTTGTTTTTCTCCTTCAGTGCTGGAGGGCAGTTATCTCAGGGTTCAAATTTATCCATTAATACCAACCAAAACATCAACATTAAGTCAGAACCAATTTCACCTCCCCGGGATCGAATGACCCCATCAGGCTTCCAGCAGCAGCAGCAGCAGCAGCAGCCACCGCCACCGCCGCCGCAGGCCCCACAGCCGCAGCCCCGGCAGGAAGTGGGCCGTTCCCCAGTGGACAGTCTGAGCAGCTCCAGCAGCTCCTACGACGGCAGTGACCGGGAGGATCCACGGGGCGACTTCCACTCTCCCATTGTGCTTGGCCGACCCCCAAACTCTGAGGACAGAGAAAGCCCTTCCGTAAAGCGGATGCGGATGGATGCGTGGGTGACCTAAGGCTTCCAGGCTGGTGTTTGTACTTTTGTGTTACTGCAGTGAACTGCTCTACATATCTAAACTGGTAAATAAGGACATGAGTTAAATATATTTATATGTACATACATACATATATATCCCTTTACATATATATGTATGTGGGTGTGAGTGTGTGTATGTGTGGGTGTGTGTGGCGTACACAGAATCAGGCACTTACCTGCTAACTCTTGTAGACCTGCAGGTGTGCGTACCACGGCAGACAGAGCACCCTGTAGGCAGAGTCTAGTCTGGCACTTCCTTGGACTACTTGTTTCATAAGATAACCAGTTTTTGCAGAGAAACATGTACCCTATATATAATTCTCCCACACTAGCTTGCAGAAACCTAGAGGGCCCCTACTTGTTTTATTTAACTGTGCAGTGACTGTAGTTACTTAAGAAAAATGCTTTGTAGAACAGAGCAGTAGAAAAGCAGGAACCAAGAAAGCAATACTGTACATAAAATGTCATTTATATTAATTACCCAACCTGGCATGGGTCTCTATTGCAAAGAGGTGCATGGGAAAGGGCTGTTGATATTAAAAAACATAACAAAAAAGCCCCACACATAACTGTTTTGCACGTACAAAAATGTACTGGGTCAAAGAAGTGATCTTTAGCTAATAAAGAGAGAGAATAGAAAACACGCATGAGATATTCAGAAAATATTAGCCTAGAGATATAGAGCATTAACAGTAAATTAATATATTAAGTTATAATTGGAATATGTCAGAAGTTTCTTTTTACATTCATATCATAAAAATTGAAGAAACTGATTTTAGCTCATGTATATTTTATATAAAATAAAACACCCTTATAAATTGATGACTATATATAAAATTATATTCACTACTTTTGAACACATTCTGCTATGAATTATTTATATAAGCCAAAGCTGTATGTTGTAACTTTTGTTTTGTTTTTTTAGAGATAGCTTTATCTTGTTTTAACTTTTTAGTTTTATTTTGAGAGGGGGAAAAAAACAAACAAAAATATCTTGCAAGCAGAACCTTGGAAAAAAAAAGCCATGAACACTTATTATTCTATATGTAAATTAAAAGTTGAGCCAAACTCTTTGTGTATATAGCATCTTAAATATATTATCACCTTTGATGTAAGTACCTATGTATTGTATGGTCACCAGATTAAAAAGTATATTTTTGTGGATTGCCGCCAATTTAGGGGGAAAAGGCGAGATCCTTATTAAGTAGAGTATTCACTGTTTAATATTTACTATTTTGTTAAATATACTGTACTTTGGATTTTAATTATTGGCCCAGTCTTTTCAGAGGATTGTATAAAGGGGTTTCTCCCCTCACTGGTGGTGAATGTGTGATGTTACATTGTAATCTTTGTGCTGTATGGGTTGAGCATTATTATATATTTTATATGTGTATATAAATAGCAAAGTGGCAAAAAAAATTGATGTTAAGTTCATCCTGCATAAATGTAAAATGTGTTGTAACAGATTTTATAAGGCATTATTTAAAACTTGCCTTTTGTGAGGAAAAAAATATAGTATAAAAGCTGACCTAATTTAATTAATATTAGAGAAAATGGCAAAATAGTAGATGAGCACAAAGGTTTTATAAGTGGTAAATGATTAGGGAAGAATATTTGTGGGGGAAGAGATCTTTGTTTCTTACCCTCTAAAATAGATTGATGCAGCTGGTTACAAGATAACTATCATTCTGGACACTCTGTGCATTGAATGACACTTCAGTGTGGGGAGAAGTCCTCTCATGGTGCAGATCCTTGGCATGACTCTTGCCATCCTGATGCCCTCAACTGAGATGCTGACCAAGGCCTTACTCTCTCAGGAAGACAGCTAAGTGGTGACAGCAAGTTCGGCAGTTCCCTGGGCTTGTGCCATGACAAAATTCAAAGTCCTGTATATCTTTCATCGTCAATTTTTAAATACTCGTTTTCTTGAGAAACTCAAAATAAGGGTTTTAAATTACTGCTATTTTATATTTTAAACTTAATATTAAGCAGCTACCTACAATTTTTACTTACGTTTTTGCTTTTTCCCCCTAAATTGCGTTCCTTGTGACATTTTCCTCATATGCTGTTTGTGACAAATCATCAGCCAGAGTTCCTGGCTGACACATAGGTAGTTAGGTACAGGATAAACTTGTGGCGTTCACAGCTGCAGAGTGGAATTCTGTTTTTAATGACATTTTGGTAGTAAATTTTGATAGAGGCCAAAAAAGGGAGGGTGATACACTCTCCCCTCTCGTCGGTTTGGACATTTGGCTTTTATTCAGAATGGATTTGTTTTGTTTTGTTTTAAATATACTTATTTTACTGAACAACTTACAGGCACATTTCTTCATGAGGTCACACCTAATTGAAACAATGCAGTTTCCCAACACTGAATTTCCAAGATAATCCTTACCACTTTGTAAACCATTTATAGCTTTGAAAGTGTTCAGTGCTTCTTTGGTTGTTATTTATGCATGTTCATGAACTTCTGCTGTACATGGGATAGGAGTTAACACATTCACATTTACTGTCTATTTTCTTGTGTGCCTTACGAGATGGCTTTTCTGACTGTATCTCAATAGTCTTTCTTTCTATGCAGGTTTATAATCAGTACAACTACTGTTTTCTAAAATAATATTACCAAGGCTCGGAGTTTGTATTTCAATTACACTGACCAAGTAACAATGTATTCCATTTTCAGGAACTGAGTATTTGACTGTTAACCCTTTTCTCATATACCCAGTGTGACTTAGAGCATATGGACTTGACAGAGGTACCCTCGCCCAGACCCCATGTACGAACACATCACACACACATCTCCTGGTGGAAACCAGCTCAGAATGGGGCAGACACTAACCATGTTACTTTAGAACCTACTTTTCTTACCCTTTTTGGACTCCTGTGTTTTGTATGACACCATCGCAAGAAATTTTATCCCTGCAGATGAAGTATTTTATTACTAAAAGACAAAAACAAAAAAAGCTAGAGTAAATTGCACTGGTTCAAGTACGGTTTCCAGCAGCTGTACTTCCTTCAGCAGTCTACCTGGTACTACATTGAAAGGGAAAGTCACCATTGTATGTCTACAGATGGTCCCAATCAAAACTCCCATCTTTTGAGCCCTAATTATGTCCATTGTGTTAAGAGACTAAATCAGGGGTTTGTTCTAAAAGAACAATATATGTTTTACCATTTCCTTTTACTGTAAGGACAGCTAATAAAGCATTAACATATTTTCTGTATTAACCATCATGCGCACAAGAAATACATAGTAAATAAGGAACCAGAAAACTCCTGGCATTGGATCATAAGAAGCTAGATGATTAGAATGTGAAAAAGATTTTACAAATGTAAAACTTTTATTTCTCTGTAGAAACTTTCTTCACTTTGCTGTGCAAGAAGACACTGCTTTGCTATATTTAAAATGGCTTTTTTAAAAGAGATTTATGTATTTGGTAAATGTTTGTAGTCAACAGTTCACACAAGAAGCTGTACACGGTTTGAACATGTAAAACCGTTTGGCGGCACAAGCTGGACTTTGTTGCCATCCTTGAGATGAACCTTTTAAGAAAAAATAAGTTAATCTCAATTTTTCCCTGAATGTGTTGTTTTTTTCCTTCATTATACAATAAATATTATAGTGAACTTTTTATCAAATGGTTAAGAAAATGTTAGAGGTTGTTGTAAACTATTTGTATCCTGCACTCACTACAGTAAAGACGGACTGGCTTTTCCTGTGTACTCCAGACTCTGTCATGTTTGCCACCAGTCACCTTCTCTTCCCTTCCCCAAACCTCTTTCGCCTGCAGGTCCCTTTTACTTCCTTTGAGATGTGGTCAAGGAAACTGTTACAGTGCCCCACCCCCACTCCTGTATTGGCTCCTGAGGCCTCTCCTCCTGGGCAACCCTGGACCCTTCAGGAAGCAGCCAGCGATCTGGTCCCGGCATCTGCCAGCCTGGCTGTTCTGTGCCTGTTGGTGTGGATACGTTAAACCCATTCAGGCTCTGATAACAGCTTCCTGCAGGATATGCTACTAGAGTGCGGGGATGGGTGTGGGGCATTTGTTAGAACTTAACTGTCATCAGTTTATTTTTCTTTCAAGTTTAGGTGGTGAAATGATTTGTTTTACCCAAAATGCATACAGTAATATGAGCTGGGGTGGCAGAAACAGATTCAGTAAATAAATTTTTATTTTCAAAAGCGGCAGATGTGAAAAATTATCTTAAACTTGCGGTGAAAAGTTTTTTTCTTCTGATTTGCCTTCCAAGCCATCTCCCAGCTAAGCAGATTCTTGCTGTCAATTAAATTAAAAGCTAAATTTTTGTGCTGGTTTTACTTGCTAGCTACTGTGAAACTCTGATTAGCTGGTTTTGAAAGCTGGTTGAAGCCTGTGGCTAAAAATAATCACAGCTGCAGCTACTTGAAATCAATTCACTGCAACTTCCTAGTTAGCTCCCATGCATCCTGCCTTCCTCTAGGCTCTGTCTTGTTTTTAAGTTGATTCTGTGTCTGATTGGTACCAGCCAAGAAAATGGTTTTCCAGTGATGGTCTTCTGCCAGCAGGATGGCTCCTGCCATCTCCCATCTGCCTGTCCAGTCTCTCATGAGGAGTCAAAGTACCACTTGGTTGTAGAACTGAGGAGACAGCTGTATTCCTTCTAGCTGACACAAGGGTTGGGAGGTTCCAAATGGGCACCTGAGGCACTCCAGGGAGGGGCTGGCAGGGGCTGAGTGGACAGGTGCCCCCAGACAATGTGAGAGCTGGGCCCCAGCCCAGGACTGCATGTCGCCAGGGTGAATTCCCACCTCCACTTCAGTGTCTGCTTCCAGAGGACCCAGCTTCGAGAACGTGTCCTAGACCCCTGGCACTGTCTTATACACAGGCGGGCTGCTCTGTGTATACCAAAGTGTCTGAATGTAGCTGGGGAAAGAAGAAAGTCAGTTACACTATGTGGTTTCACCATATTATCGTCTCCTACCTTTCTTCTTGGACTTTAGTTTTGAACTAATTTTTAACTTGCAGAAAAGTTGAAAAAATAGTAGGTTCATATGTCCCTCTCTCAGCTTTCCCTAATGTTAATATTTACATAACCATAATACCACTATCTCGAAGAGTCAGACATCACTGAGCGACTAAGCACAGGACGGTAGCACTATCAGAACCAAGAACTTAACACCAATATAGCACTAGTAACTAAACACCTTGTTTGAATTTCACCACTTTATCCACTGTTTCTGTTCTAGTATCCAAGCCAGGATCCCACATTGTATTTAGTTGTTATGTCTCTGTAATAGTTCCCCAGTCTTTGAGAAGACAAGGTGCTTTTGAAGAATATTGGTCAGTTATCCTGAATAGTATCCCTTGATGTGGATTTGTCTGATGTTTTCTTATGATTGTAATGAGCATGCATTTTGGCAGGAATGCCACAGAAGTGTGTCCATAATGCATCATGCATTTCATGATGTCCTATGTTTGTACAGGTGATGTTGACCATGACCACTTGGTTAAGTGATTTCTTTGGGGCTTCACTGTAAAGTTACTATCTTCTCCTTGTTGATAAGTAACTTGGGGAGAGACTTTGAAACTATATAGATTTCTCAAACATACCTATTAATTTTACTTCTTGGTTACAATAATTATTTCTGAAGTATTTGCCTGATTTCTTCTATATTTATTAATTGGACTTCTGTAAGGAAGAGCTGTCCCTCCCTCTCCCCACTAATTGATTATATTATAATGGTTCATGAATTTTTTTTTTCCTTTGGGTTATAATCTAGTACTATCATTCTGTTCCTGAAGTTATTCCAGCTTTGGTCATTAAGAGCTCCTTCAGGTAGATGCAGATGTTTCTTGGAAAAGCTCCTTCCCAATTTTTAAGCATTTCTTTACTTTCTGGCAAGATGTTAAACACTGATACTCATTCCAGGTACTGGAACAACCAACTCTCTAAGATTCCTAGTTCCATGTACTGAAGAATGGCATTTAGAAGCCAAGGTAAATGCACTGTATTTGCTCATTGCTGCTAGATTATTACTGCTCTTTGGCCCTCTCTGCAGCCAAAGCTAGAAAATAAATGTAGGTATATTCACTCACGGGCTTCCCAGGTGGCTCAGTGGTAAAGAATCTGCCTGCGAACGCAGGAGATGTGGGTTCCATCCCTGGGTGGGGAAGATCCCCTGGAAGAGGAAATGGTTGCCAGGATAATCCCATGGACAGAGGAGCCTGGCAGGCTACAGTCCATGGGATTGCACAGAGTTGGACACGACTGAGCACTCGTGCATGCTGTTGAAAAACAAATCCATATTTTGCAGCTAGTTATCTAAACATGTATGTGGAAAAACATGAGTTTTGTAGTAATACTTTTATATTTCAATTCAACTTCACAGGGTTCCTTTTAGCCTCTCCTTTCCTTATTTGTAAATTCTTTCTCCTAAGGTAAGAACCAGACTTTACTATCTGCAATCATTTTTACTTACTTCTTCAGTTTTAGTGTACCCAGTTTTAGAACTGCCAGTCCAGGGACTTAGTTGGTCCAGTGTTAGGACTCTGTGCTTCCACTGCAGGGAGCACAGGTTTGATCCCTGGTCTAGGAACTAAGATCCTGCGTGACTTGCAGCCAAAAAAAGTTGCCAGTCCACACCTAAGTGAGAAACACATTTATTGACCAGATTAGAGCATTTGTATAGTTCCTTTTCCATCTGGCCTTACATTTATCCATTGAGGGCAGTGTTTTCCATAGTTTTAGTTCCCAACCACCTTCCATGTTGTTATTCAATATAATATATAGTTAGGATCATCTGTTGATGTTTTTACTTCAGGTACCCCCCTCATGGGCTTCCCAGGTGGCTAGCTCAGTGGTAAAGAATCCACTTGCCAATGCTGGAGATGCAGGTTCAATCCCTGGGTCAGGAAGATCTCCTGGAGGAGGAAATGGCAACCCATTCCAGTATTCTTGCCAGGATAATCCCATGGAGAGAGGAGTCTGGCAGGCTAAAGTCCATGGGTTTGCAGAGTTAGACAACTGAGCACCCATGCACTCCCTCTCATGCTAGTTGTTTTTTATTGGAGGGGAGATGAATGAATGGTATCTGAAGCTTTACTATGTTGTAAGAATCAGAGCTATACAAAAGATACTCAAGAGTATTGTCACTCTTTCCTCACCCCTGCTACCTCACCCCCTCCCTGAATTCTCCTGCCAGCCCTCTACCAATCTCTACCCTAGCTTCTGGTTTAATCCTGCCTGTGTATCTGGTATAAACAGGATATAAACTACACACTCCTGAACAACTAATGGGTAAAAAAAAAAAAAAAGAAATCAAGAAATATCTTGAAACAAATGCAGATGGAGACAAAGCATATTAAAACCAATGGGATGCCGCAAAAGTGATTCATAAAGAGAAATTTATAGTGATAAATGCATATATAAAGTGAAGTGAAAGTCGCTCAGTCATGTCCGACTCTTTGTGACCCCATGGACTATACAGTCCATGGAATTTTCCAAGCCAGAATACTGGAGTGGGTAGCTATTCCCTTCTCCAGGGGATCTTCCCAACCCAGGGATCGAACCCAGGACTCCTGCATTGCAATGGATTCTTTACCAACTAAACTATGAGGGAAGCCCAGAAATACTTATATAAACGAAAAAGAAAGATCCCAAATTAACTACAACTCAAGGAACTTAGAAAAAAAACTAAGTCAAGGTAAGCAGAGAGAAGGAAACAACAGATCAGAGGGGAAATGAAATAGAAATCATGGAAAAAATGTAAAAGATTCAAAACAAAGAGCTTGATTTAAAAAAAAATTGGCAAACCTTTAGCTGGTCAAATTAAGAATAGAAGAGAGAATGCAATGAGTAATGAAAAAGGCAATATTACAACTGATAGTACAGAAATACATAGGATCCTAAGACTTCCTATGAACACTTATATACCAGCAAATTGAACAACATAGAAGAAATAGATAAATTCCTAGAATTGTACAGTCTACCAGGACTGAATCTGGAAGAAACAGAAAATCTGACTAGACCAATAACATTAAATCAGTAATCAGAAACCTCCCAACACAAAAAAGCCCAGGGTCAGATGTTTTACTGGTGAATCCTACTGGGTAAAGAATTGCCAGTCTTCAAACTATTCCAAAAAAAACTGAATGGGAGGGAACACTGCCAAACTCATTTTATTAGGCCAGGACTTACTGATACCAAAGCCGGATAAGGACAATGTAAGGTAAATAACAAGCCAGTATCCCTGATGAACAGAGATGCAAAAATTCTCAACAACATATTAGCAAAACACATTAAAAGGATAAGACACTATGATCAAGTGAGATTTATCCCTAGGATATAAGGGGTGGCTCAACATACACAAATGAAACCATGTGATAAATCACATTAATAGATGAAAGGTAAAAATCATGATCATTTCAATAGATGCAGAATAAGGGTTTGACAAAACATCGTTTCATGATAAAAATGCTCAATGAAGTGGGTATAGAAGGGACAAACCTCAACGTGACAAACCCACAACCATCCAACCCACAAGTTGAAAGCTTTTCAAGGTCAGGAACAAGACAAGGACACCCACTCTCACCACTCTCGGTCAACATACTTGCAGTCCTAGCCAGAGCAATTGGGCAAGATAATAAAATACATTCCGGGGGGGTAAATGGCTATGTAAGACATCCCAGGTTCCCCAACCCCACACAAAGATCAACGATTAGACAGCTATCAACAAATAAAAACCACTCCAGGAGATCTCTCAAAATTTTAGCAACACCATGGAACAAAAACAAACAAAATGAAACACTTGAGAATAACTGAACAAGAAGAAAAGACAAATACTACATTTTGCCTCTGCATTATCCCATCCTCCAAGACATATTCAGCAGCAAGAAGGCACTTCCCAGCTACGAAAAGAGTCCCCTGAGTGGGAGACCTGCCCTACAGGAGAACTCAGAAGCTTCCACCCTGAACTCGCCAGCCAGCTGCTCCT